CACAACACTACTTTTGGAGAAGTTGACCATCAAACCAATTACCCACTCAAAACAATTAATCACCCTCTTAACATTGGTTATGTTGTCTAGAGATGCTTCCAAAAATAAGATAATGTCATCTGCGACTGTAGATGTGAGACATGGAGAACATCTCTTCCCACTTCAAAACCTTTTACCAAGTTTAACCTTTTAGCTTTGTTGAATGGCTGGTTGAATATATCCATCACCAAAGTGAAGACAAAGGGGGATAGAGGACAACCTTGTCTCAGACCATGACTTGCCTTGAAGTAGCCTTTTGGTTCTCCATTTATCAACATTGAGAACCAAGTTGATTCGATGCAGCCTTTAATCCACTTAGCCCACTTCCCACCGAAGCCTATAACCTTTAAAATTTGGTGAATACACTCCTAATCCACCTTGTCGCAGGCTTTTTCAAGATCTAGTTTAACTATGACCCCTGGCTTTCCATTTACTTTTCTGTCTTCTACACATTCGTTTGCTATATAACCTATAAGAATGCTATCCACTATTTGCCTTCCTTTCACAAACACAAACTGGTTTGAGGAGATTAGGTCTCCTAGGACTTCTTTTAGTGTTCTTGATAGCACCTTGGCTAAAATCTTGTAAAATCTCCCTACTAGGCTAACCGGTCTGAATCCTTTACTTCCAAGGGTCCCCCTTTCTTTGGAATGAGACAAATGAAATTGGAATTCAATCCTTTGTTCCCAATGGCCGAGGAATTGAAGTCCCTGAAAACCTCCAAGAGATCTTCTTTTGCAATATCCCAACACAGCTGAAAATAGAACATTGGGAATCCATTTGGACCTGGTGCCCTATCTCCATCCATTAGAAATACTGCCTCTTTGATTTCTTGCTCTTCAAACTCTCTTTCAAGCCAGATTTTCTTCTCTTCTGATAATTCTTGCCCTTCCCACCTGTCCAGAGAGTACTGATTAGAGAATTCTTTAGTGTAAAGATTCTTGAAGTAAGAGAGAAAGGCCTCAGTAATTTCCTCTGAATCCTCCACTTCCATATGGCCTACTTCGAGTTTGGAGATGAGATTTTTCCTGTGTCTTCCTGAAGCATAAGAGTGAAAGAATCTGGAGTTATTGTCTCCTTTTACCACTTCACCCGTGATCTTTGTCTCCAGTAAATTTCTTCCCTTCTAATCAGTTTTTCCCACAGAGTTCTCAGGTCAGCTCTTCTCCTTCTATCTGTTTCATATAAGTTGCAGTTTTGATCTCTGAGGTCCAGCTCTTCTAGTTCCCCAAGAATTTTACCCTTCTCTTCTTCAAAGGCCTTAAACTCCTCTTTCCCCCAAGCTTTTAGATTGCTTTTTAAGAACTTCAATTACTGTAGCAGTCTGAAGCCAGCCCAGCCCTCCACTTTACATTCCTCCCACCAAGAAGCCACCTTCTTGCTGGAGTCCTTATGAGTGGTCCACCTCTTTTCCAATCTCAAGGGAGCCTTGCGATTTAAACTCAGATCTGTTTCTAAGGCAATTGGCCAGTGATCTGAGGTGCAGCGAGGGCGGAGTTCTTGAATCAGGCTAAGGAACTTCTCTACCCATTCTGAAGAGACTAGAAATCTGTCAAGTCTGCAACTTATCGCGTTTTCTTGCAGATTTGACCAAGTGAGTCTCCCGTTGTTTAGGGGGAGATTATACAAGTTGTGTCTATTTACGAAGCTTGAGAACTTCCTCATGCTTCTTGTTGGAGATCTGCCATTGGAGTGCTCATTACTGAACCTTATGACATTGAAGTCACCACCTATGCACCATGGGTATCATGGAATTTGTGTACTGAATAGGAATTTGGCCCGTAAACTTCAGTCAATATCCAGTTAAAGCCATCTTTCTTATTAGTGAACAAGACAGAAATAGAAAAATCCCCTTTGTCTATTTCTATACCTGAGACTTCATTCCAAGCAAGAATAATTCCTCCTGACGAACCTGTTGCGGGTACCACCACCCATTTTTTTCCTCTGATTCTCCAGATTGCGTTGATCAGTTTTCTATCAACTACTTCTTTTTTAGATTCTTGTAAAATAATGATATCTGGGTTGTCTCTTCTTAAAGTCTCTTTCACTAGACACCTTTTCAGCTGCCCTCCCAATCCCCTGACGTTCCAACATAGAATCTTCACTGGGCCTCTCTTGTTGAATTTCCCTTAGCCACCCTATTAGCTGCTGACCTGTTATCCGTCAACCCCCACTGTGCGTTTCAATTCCCACTTGGACCCTCTTCTATCACTTCCTCCCTGATCTTTCCTTCTCATCTTACTGTCTTCCTTCGCTGCTTTCTGATTTTCTGCTTCTTTCTCTCTTCTTTTGAGACCGAGAAGTTTGGCCATCTCCTCTGTACCACTTTCCAAACAGCCTTCCCTTTTGTTACTGTTCTGAATTTATTCATTTGCCTTCCTTGCCGCGGAGTCTGGGCGATGACTATCAATCTGTTGTGGTTGGGATAGCTCTCTATTCAAACCTGGAAGACAAGAGGAAACATGGTTGCTTCTTTGAGAAAGAGATAAAGGAGCCGAAACAGAACTAACAAACAAAGAGGGGGGAGAGGAAACTCTTGTATGTGGTTGAAGGCTGTAGGGAGTGTTGGGAAGGTTTGGAGGCGAATCCCGTCCTTGCCTTCTAGCAAGGCCTTCTGAGTCTACATCTCCGTATTCTGGATCAACCAGAGACCTTTGTTCAAGCAATTTTACACTTCCTCAACTTTCCTTCCCCAAAAACAAAGATTTTGCCCTTGTGAAAGCAACCTCTCGCAGATCCGGTTCAGTCTCTGTTGCGTAGGAGCTTACGTCTTCCCCAGAGTCTTCGTCTTCATACAGAGAAGAGTAACTTGACCTTAACGAAGAAGTGGGAGATCTGTTTACATTCCTTTTCTGACCTCCTGAGCTGGGAGGGGTGATTGGTATCTCTTGGCCTTCAAAGGAAGGGGTTTCTGGTGGGCTTGGAAAAAGGGAGTCAGCCTTCTCTGAAGGGAGTTGGGCCTTTAAATTAACTCGGCCCAACTCTTTACAGAAAATTGGGTTCAGTTTCGGGTCGGGTTTGAGCTCTGAGACCTTAGGATCCACTGTGCCCTAACAGTCCCCTGTTTTGCTAAGGTACCTGATAATCCATTAGCTGATCTTTTTGTCCACTTGAAGCAAGCACCAATCTCCCTTGTTAAGCTGACAAACTCCTTCATCAATTGTCTATGTATCCATGCACCCAAACTACCTGACTGCAGCCATCCTATTTACCAAGTTCAAATGCCCTTCTATTTCTATTTGTTGTAGTCCAAACTGCTTTGCGTATCTTACACCTTGCAGTAATACCATGATTTCCACTCAAAGAGTCACCCACTCCTATTGGCCCCGAGAACAATGCTAAAATTCTGCCTTCACCATCTCTGACAACACGCCCTATACTTGAGGGTCCCGGGTTGCCTATAGAACTGCCATCGAAGTTCAGCTTTACTCTGTTTTATATTGGTGGGGACCAAATTTCCTGTATCACAGGTTTAAGAGAGCTTGTGCTTGCCACAACACCCCAACTCCTATAAATATCTTCAGCTGAGAAGTCTTTAATTTAAATATATCAATTGTTTTCAGGCAGTGGAAATTTTTTAGTCACTTCTACAATTTCCTTTTTGGATCTAGCCATGCTTTTAAAAATCCTGTTGTTTCTTTCTTCCCAAATTGGCCAAAGCACTGCTACTCTTGTAGCCATCCACAATTCTTTCCCGCTTCTTCAGTTGCTTGAAAAAATTTGGGTCAAAGAGGCCTATCACATCCAAGGGAGGGGTCCACCTACAACCAAAGAGAGAAGAGAACCAAGACCAAAGAAAGGACGCAAACGGACAGGAAATCAATAGATGTGTGATCATCTCACCAGCTCCTAAGAAGAGACTACAAACATGGTGTGAAAGGCATAGATGTGGCCTTTTTCTGTGGCAAATCCAAGGATTTTGATAAAGAAAGAAAATAGAATTTAAGTGGCTATAAAAAGGATAACGTTTTTTCTTCATAACGTGGAAATGTATAATCTGCAAAGGGGTTGATATTACATCTTTCTCATTTGTTAAACAAGTTCAATTCCCGTTTGCATGAAACAATTATCTCCATGCTTTTGGTGATTATGTAGAAGACTTCAACAACAATGAAGTAGTGATGTCTGTAATAAATTTGTGTGCCATCCATGTTTCAGCCACAACTTCCTCCAATTGTGTGATATTGGGGGAATTGGATGGCTAATTGAAATGACTATTATATGGTGCCAAATTAAAGCATTTGGACATGTTTTGACATAGGAAAACTATGGCCACAAATAAAATGACTTGTTTCTGTCTTCTTAGTTTCCTTCTTTTATCTTTTCCATGCATCTCGTATAGGGGTCTTTTTTTAATTTTGCAATATTTCTCTTTATTCTGCAATTACCATTATCTTGATAAACCATGTATGTAATTAATGCTTCAGCATGATTTTAAAAAATGCCTACTAGGTCAGTAATGATGTTCAAGGTTCAAAGTATCAATATGTATTACACTGTATTGTGCATATTGTGTTGGTGTCGAAGGTCACCAAAATGATAATTAATGAGAGTTAGGGGGCTTGAACGGTTTCTGATGTTAATAGCCATCCTAATGTGTCAGAATGTAAATATCAAACTGAAAAAAAAAAAAAATAGAGAAATGGTCATAGGAAACTGACAATACAGAATTTTTGCGTCTTGCGAGTATCCATATTTTAGACCTTGTTGGTTTTCATGTTGGTCCTAGCTATTACCGGTCTTGGGAGGTGTCAACTTGTATGGACCTAACCTTTGCCATTTTCATGCACGCCAATTTCAGATTTGAACCCACACTGTCATGCTTGACATCCTGAGATTTTACCACTGAACTATGCATTGACCTTTTTGGTAGCCTCTGATTTAAAAATAAATAAAATAAAATTTATCCACCATACATTTTATATGCTTACTTTGCTAGTCACCATTATTTTGATTTACAGAAATTGTTGAGGATGTAGACTTGCTGATCAGAAGGGCTGAGAGATGCTTGGAAGCCGGAGCAGACATGATCATGATTGATGCTGATGATGTATGCAGATATGCCGATTCATTCCGTACAGACATTATTGCAAAGATAATTGGTCGCCTAGGACTTGAAAAGACCATGTTTGAAGCATCAAATCCCAAAACCTCTGAGTGGTTTGTCCAACAATATGGACCAAGGGTACCAAGCTTGCTTATTTGGCATTTCTTATTCTTAATGGTTTTACCTAAGTCATGGATTGCACCAATACAAAACATTAATTATTTATCTGGCTGCATTTTCAGGTGAACCTCTTTGTTGATCATTCTCAAGTAATGGGTCTGGAGTGCATAAGAGGCCGCAACTTGGGTAAAAACCACATGTCTGTTCTAGGGCCATCTTATCTTCTGTTGTAAAACGGTGCCATTTCCATAGATTCCAATCACTTGTTGAATTGTTTTGGCTGTCTTTGTGTCTGGTGTTTGTTAAGGACTTCAAACGATGTTGTATGTTTGTTTGTGAATGATGCATACTAGTCCTGTTATGTTTTTATGTACATCATATTAATAATTTATGTTCTCTAAGTTATATAATAGGAATATACCTTTTTGCCCGTAGCTATATTTCTTGTAGTGACCTTTTGGTATATAGCTACTATAGGTTTTTTTGACCTAATAGTAGTTCACCTTTTGGTTTATTGTATATATATATATATACAATATTTATTCTTGTTTTTTTTTATTTTTTTTTATTTTTTAATTTCACTATTTATCCATTAAACCAATAAGCAAATAACATATGCCTAACTATTTCTAACAATCATAAAGAAAGAGGGATTTATTTTTCTAATGTTTAGCCAAGTGGCATCACCTTCCTCCACTTTCTCCTAAATTCTCTCTAATTCCTATTTATCTCCTAAATTATCTCTAACTCCTATTTATATCTTGAATTATCTCTAATGTAGAGAGATACCCTTCTAAACCATCTCTAATTCCTATTTACCCTCTCCCACACATTTTATCTATATCTATTTTAAAGAAAGTTTTAATTAAAAAAATTCAGAATTATTTAAATATTATAATGAAATTATATACTAACTTTAAAATATTTATTCAAAACAAAAAAAATTAATTATAATAGACTTAATAATATTCATATTATTAATAATCATATATTCTTATAAAATTCATCTTCAAAATATGTAATAACTATAAATTATAATTTTATGAATTACTCAATTTAAATGTTATTCAAATAATAAAAATTTAACATTAAAAAATAAAATGTTATTTAAATATTTCAATAACTAAATATCTTAAATAACAAAACATTAAAAATAGCTAAATAATTATGTACCAAAACTTTTAATATTACGTAATAATATTAAAATAAATAAAATTCAAATAATGAAAAATTTTAAATATTTTACATATTATTTAAATATTTAAATAATGAACTATTTCAACAAAATTGTGTAATAAATTTTAAAAAAATCTTAAAAGTAGAAAAATAACTATAATAGATTTCATAATATTCATATTAATAATAATTTAATATTTTACAAAATTAATAACGAATTATGTAATAATAGTACTAATTATAATTTTACGGATTATTAAATTCAAATAACTAAATAATGTTCTAAATAAATAATTTCACTTATATCAATTAATAATTATAGAAAATAACTTTCAAAAAAATAATATTTATTAGTAATAATTTCACAATAATAGTGTATATATATACTAAAATTAATATTTGCTTTCTTTTCAGTAATTATTTATTGTATTTTTTTTGATAAATATGTTTTCAATAATTATTTATAAATCTATTTTTGTTTTTTTACTTAACAGTAAATTGTCAATAATCATTAGAGATTAAAGAACTATTGTTTAACTTTTGAAATTTAATTTATCGTATTTATTGTATTTTTGTTAGAAATTTATTTTCAGTAATTATGTATTTTTTATAATTTATTGATTAATATTTTTTAGAGATTAAACTATTATTTGAGATTACACTATTTATTGACTAATTTAATTTATTTTCAATATTTATTATATTTTTATAATTATTGTATTTTTATTAGATATATTTTCATTATAAATTTATTTTCAATAATTGTGTATTTTTTATATAAATTTTTAGTAATTATTAGAAATTAAACTAGTGTTATTTATTAGAGATTAGACTATTAATTTAGCTGAAACTAAGAATGTTCAAAAAATACAGATTAGACTATTATTAGAGATTAAACAATTTTCAATAATTGTTAATGTATTGTGTTAAATACCAAAAGAATCTAAGCTTAGCCCAAGTGCATAAGATTTCAATACAGGTTGAAAATGAATTGGGCAGTTCAGGCTTGACTTTGGATTCAGTCTAGGCTCGGGCCTTTGACCCACTTGTTAGGATAAGGCCTGGATTGATAGAATCCGACCCAGCCCACCTGACTTGCACGCGTAGGGTAATCATCGTTCCCCTGGTCCCTCCGCCACCCCCCTCTCCCGGTCTCCGCCCTTGATAGAACAACTCGGCAAGGAAGCGTTTTCGTAACCGTAACGTGAAATGTGGCAATTATGTGCATATTAGTACATAAGTTGGCAAACAGGATCTAAATATCTAATGCATAAAACAAATATAACGTAGTAGTGCAAAAAGTATAAGTGGACCGGCCATTACTGTAACATTGTTGATTTGAACAAAACAGCTTACTTCGAGTTACTAGAGGAGCAAATAGACTTCAGGAAACCTTGAGTTAAGGAAAAGTAACTTGTAATTACTGTCATGTTCACCATAAGTTGTTAAGAAAAAGTAGATTTGAAAATATCGATGAATACTGAACTTAACAGATTGGGAGACAATAAATAATCGTGTTCCATGGATGCAGTTTCTGATAAAGACTAAAAGACAGTGTCCTCCAGCTGTAAGTCAGCTTTTCTCAAAACCAGGTTCTATTTTCTTTTTAACCCAAAAAAACAAGAGAGTGGCCGACTTGGTTTGAGAGGCCGTTGGCCTTTTCTCCGTTTTTTTTTTTCGTTTTTTGGTAACGATTTGGTCTTTCTACCCCCAACTTTGGATTTCTACGAAGATAACATGCAGGCATAGGACCTGAAAATTAAAAACGACAAAGCAACTTAGCATTTCCATCGGTTCATTTAAGGTCCTGTACTTTGGGCCTACTGTTTCACAAAAAGGACAGTCTATGATTTGCACATGATAAAGAGGGACCCCTATGTAGCAATTTCATATATATGGTTATGACTTGTGAATGGAGTTAATTTTGACAAAATGTGTTGGAAAATTAAGGAGACCTGAGCAGGGGGTTGGTATATGTCTATATACCACCTATTGTCTAGTACTGTAGTAGCATCTGCCATATAATCCTAGAGTTAGGCGATAGAGAAGATCATTGGTAACACAAGTTGACTTGGATGGGACGAGACCAGAAACCTGCTCTAAATTAAAAGCCTTATTGGTGACGAATTAACCATCCAGCTTAGTTTTGGACAAGCTTGGAGTGATTAACGCTAACCCACTTAATTTAGGTTTGTTTTGACAAATTTGTCTTGGGTGGCATTAAATTAAATTGAAGATTGCAGGTTGGTTATCCAGTTGGAGTTCGACCCTTGTTAAGTAACCTATCTTTGGCGTGAAAAATCAAAGTCAATTTCGAATGATCTTATGTATTTGTCATATATTATATTAATTATATATATGGAGTTGCATTCATCACTTTTCATTGAGTGGGTTGTTCAACCTCCACTCCGCACAGTGCCAGTGGGGTTGGTATGGAGGAAGGAGGATGGACCTATCCCTACAATTTGCTTGTCGACATGGTTTCATCTGTTCCCCCGGCCCTTGGACAGACTTTCTAAACTCTCTGGCGTCTACCTGAGTTTACCATGCATGCACCAAACTTTTGTGAAGTCTCATCAGCCCCAATGTATTATGTATAGGTGTGTGTAGTTTTGTTTTGGAGCAGACCCATTTGAGATGACTTATGATTCTTAGATTCTATGAGCCTGAGGATTCAAATAGCATTCTTGGTACGTGGATTCAGATGAATTCTTGAATCACTGCTACTGGTAGTCTGTCTTAACAGTGTCAGGGAAAAGATCTCCAATTCCTGATAATCCTCAAAAGTTTCATGCGATACCACATCTCACAGCTCATAGGCATTCCAAGATTTTCTAGAGAGAGAGAGAATCTGATCATGTGCTTCTTCTTTCATGCAGCGTGACCACTTGGTTGTTGGAACTTGGAAGCATTGAATTTCCGTAGTATCACAATTAAATTACTAATTAGAGAAAACCTGTTCCACCACAAATTTGGGCATTTATTAAGGTGGATCGATTTCCTAGCATTTAATTAAGAAACTTAATTACTTGTTTAGAAATGAAGTTGGATTTAGACAATTGTATAATGGTATTTTTGTTAGAGACTTATTAGAGCTTCAAACAGCAAAGCCAGTGGCCTGTGTAGAGAACTCAGGGGTCAAGGGGCCCATCCTTGTACTTTTGGGGGTTTTAAAACTTGGCCCCCTGTACTATTCTCTCTCAAAATATAAATTAATAATGGACGGTATGCCACGTGTACTGTTACACATTTCTAATGTATTTTAAGATGCTCTTGTTTTTATTTCAAAATCTCTCTTGGTATCCTAAGATTGTATTAACGTCAACCATGTATTAAATCGCCGCAAAAAAAAAAAAAAAATCTAGGCTGATATTAAAGTGGCCTCCAAAGAGTGGAGAGTTAATCTTGGCTATCCAAACAATGCACTTGGAACTTTGGTCATTCAAGTTTGAGTCCCTATCTCCTGTTCATACAAATTTTGCCCATATTTATCGTAGTCATACATGGAGAACATCTCAAACTCTGCATAGTATTATACAGGAAGAGATGTTGTTAATTCACAGGAGATAATACGTTGTGGGTAGACATGGACAGAGTTCTCATGGGCAGGAGATCCGGAATCTTCAAATTTGACACCAAAATTTCTATAAGGTCTTTTTTAAGTAAGGTGATATAAAAATAGACTTGTCTAGTTGGCTGGCCATCAGGATGACGACCTAATTATGATCAATCAATTAATCTCGGCAATCCCATTTATGTACCAATGCTTTAGTTCAAATGAATTGAATTGCCAAATCTATTGAAATATTTGGGCCATTAAAGTGACCAACTAAGATCATATCAGTTAACTAATCTTAATATCCAATTGCAATATGCCAAAGTTTCAACTAATCTATGCCATCTTAATCATAGGTTCATCATGGCGGGCATTACTCCATCTCCTTTCCTTTCTTTGTGATGTTGAAGGTGTAGAAGCATAGGTTATTCTCTCTGTTTTAAAGCATTTTTCGGCGTTTCATCATCAGAAAATCTGTGTGGTAAATGATTATCTCAATGTGATTACTGCTCAATCAGTTATACCTGACATTAAGAATATTACTGCTATTTTTGATGATTTATGTTTCTTTAATGTGCATAGATCTTTAAACTTGATTTCTCATACTTTAACTACAAAATTTTGGGGAATTCACCATGAGAGTTAGTTTGGATTACTCCTCCTGATGTACTCCTTATCTTTTTAGT